TACCTTATCCGTGATGGTGAATTCCGGAGCTAAAGCGACACCTGTACACGTATTACAAGCCATAGGTTGTATTGGACCGTCTGTGGTTAATTTTTATTCTCGAAATTTTGCTAAAATGTGCAGAGATGTGGGTGTGTGTGTTTTTGGGGGAGATGATAGTAACATCGGTGGAGACGTTTCGTGTGCTTGGTTATACGATAATCTTTGGGACGGTTTGCGACCGGTACAACAATTCATAATGTCCTGTAATTCCATAGAAAATATGGTAAGATCTATTGTGTGTACTGGTGACGGTGGTTATTGGCGTCGTTCCGTTCAATTTACTCTTGACGGACTTGCAATTAAAGAAACATTTTCTGTAGTTGATGTGGACCACGACGAATTTGTGTATCCGCCGGTGTGTAATGTAGGTGGTGCGGCGGATTATGTATCTAGTCAATTTTTCACGAGGTTTGGAATACCGTATTATATTAACTCAACCGATGATATAACGGCCAAATGTGTAACTTTCGATAGTGGTATGCAAATACACGCGAACGATGTGGATTATTTTGTAGATTCCGACGGCGGTCTAGTGCGTTTAACTCATACGAAAAGTTTGCATTATTATGTTAACTCTTTAATTAAAGGAAACAATAAAACATGATTATTAAAACCGAGAAATTTCAATGTATTCTTTAATTGTTCGCAATCTACATCTATATTTGCAATTTGGATTTAAACAATCCCAAATGAGACTGGCAATGTCTCCTGGAGCATCGTATAACAACGACATGGTGTATTTTTCTAAACGCATGATCGCTTCGGGACATCCGATACCAGCAGCCACGAAATCTGATTCGTCAAAATTTTCAAACGGTAAATGTAAAAAATACATTTCATATAATAAGACGCCTAAACTCCATGACATTAACAGTTCTGCATTGTACGACTTCCTTTCTCCGCGATAAAAGGCAATTGCTTCTGGTGACGAGTACGGTAATGTGCTTTTGAAAGTCCGAACGCGTTTATTCACAAGATGCACGTCACTCCAATCTATAACTGTACACTTCATATCCTTATCTATTACGATATTTCCAGATTTAATATCGCAATGGTACACTTTACATTTCTTTACAGTTTCATAAAGTACGTTGAAGACTTGACGAAATATATCTCGAATATTTAAAAGTTTATGAGAGTATAACAGATCTCGTAAAGACGTGCTTCCCGTATCGAAAAATGCTAAAAAACCGAATGTTTTATTCGACCATTGCTTTAGACACATTGGAATTCCTCTTATAGATCGTTGAGATAGAGTCTTTAAAATAACGTATTCAGCCTGAAGTCCAGTTTTCCATTTACTTATTTTAAGGATTATGCTCCTTTCCTTGGAAAGCCAAACTCTGAATACTTTAGAATGTGCACCGCGACCTAACTATTCATACGTTATATCCATGGTGTTGTACACACTTTTTAACATTTTATTTCTTTCATTCGAACATATGTATGTATATAATGAAATAAACGTTATAAAAATATATACTTAAAATGAATACCAAGTTATTTACCACTTTCGTACCAAAGTACAATATGCCTTATCATTTGAGCGAAGAAATGACGAGTATGCTAAAGAATATCGCGAACGTATTTCGCACTGACATTGTCCCCACCATTGATATATCGAAAGACCTCACTATGCAATACATACAATTTATTAATTCAGTTGAAAAACACGTTGACGCTCCTTTGGTTTTCGAATCACGTGAAAAAATTGATCCAGACGACGTTCAAGTCATCGTCGATGTTATAAACTGGTTGGGTGCGAATCTTACTGGTACTGTTCATCACATCTACGATAGTTTAGATAGCGAAGACTTCTATGATGCCATAGAAGACGACGGTATTACAACGACTACGGTTTAAATATAGAACTATATTATGCAAAAAATAAACTGATTATCAAGTACATGTAATGTTTATTTTGTGGGAAAAGATATGTCTTTACTTCCCAACGTAATTGGAATTCATCATCAAATTAGAATAATATATTCTATGAGTAATAGTGGGGATGTAAACACGCTTTTAAATAATGCTCAATTTCAAAATGTCACTTTAGAACGTAGAATAGATAAAAACGTAGTTGAAAAAACTCATTTACAAGATTTATTCGTTTCAAAAAATATAGCTCGTGCATATGATTTGTTTAGACAGCAATAAAAACCACTAAATGTCTACCGCCTTTGAATATGCTCTGCTACACCGTGGATACGACGTCTCTATTACGAGTAAATTGGGAGAAGGTGGTTTTGGTATCGTATACGCGGGAGTACGCTTGAACGATAACGCTCCTATAGCTGTTAAATATATTTATCACAAAGATGTTTGGAGGTGGCATACTGTGAAACAACCGTTTCAATCGAAAATACCAATGGAAATACACATGTTGAAAAGAGTAAATAAAGTTGATGGTACTATTAAGTTGTACGATTGGTTCAAAATTGAACACGGTTATGTATTGGTTATGGAGAGATCGATTAAAAGTATCTCACTTTATTCATATATGAAGACGCATGTTCTCAACGAAAAAGAAATTATTAATATATTTAAACGTCTCGCACAAATAACTTACGACTGTTGGGTCAAATGTGGAATTATTCACTGTGATTTAAAAGAAGCAAATATACTCATCAATAAAGAAACAATGGCAATTACCATTTTAGATTTCGATTTTGCAGTAGAGTGTTCAAAACGTCTTAGGAGAACATACGCATGAACACCACTTTATGCGCCACCAGAATGGTATATAAATGGTATATATTACCCCGAGAGCACCGTCGTATGGACTCTAGGCGTTATACTCTGGAAGCTATTGTTCAGAAAAAGCCCTTTCAAGACAACGAAAGACATTAGGAAATTCGAAACTTTAGAAACCATTGACCCTTTTGAAACAGAAAAACTGTTATATTCTTCAAATGTTATTTCTTTGTTAACGTCACTCATGAGGAAAAAAATAAACGAAAGGCCCAGTATAGACGTACTTCACAAGTTAGCGCTAAGTCTTTGACAAGAACAATTGTACGTTTTGAAATAAAGTGTTTCAATAATCAAAAAAACACACACAAAAAATATCTTGTGGAGGGTATTGCTCTTAAAAACGTATGACATTTAATTATTACATTTTCTTTCGTATTCCTTCACATTTCTATACAATATACATATAGACTTTTCTTTGCGTTATTGTTATTGTAAAGAAAAAATAGAGTGTGTGGAGTGGTATATAAAAAAGACCCACCCCCAAAAAAGAGAGTGTGGGGGTGTGTATATGTTGTCTATACGAAGTTTACGTGCTTTTTTTGTGTATGTGTGTGTCTGTGTGCGTCTGGGTGTTGGTAGAATGAAAGAAAGAAGATATTGGATGAGAGTGTACCATGCTCTCTGATTGGATGGGTACGTTAATAAAACAATATTTATCCCTTCCAAAAGCATTTGTTTATATTGTGGCTGTTATTTTTTTTTCGTATAGTAACACGAGACGCTACGCATATTTGCCTATATATAGGCCGTACATGTAACTACGAATATCAGTCTACGAGATGAACTTCCCTAAAAAGGATCGTAAGCGTAAGAGTGACAGTTCGTTCGGCGCACGGACTTCTTCTTCTTCCGAGCCTATAGCCGTACTCGTACCATCGAATACGTCGTTTTCAGATTCACCGTCTATGCAACTGCAAACTAAAAGTAAACGTCGTCGAAGAGGGAATAGAAGTTCGTCGATTGATTTGAATGAAGAAAAGGTTAATTCATTGTTTCTCAAGAAAAGAAGTTTGACGAGATGTGCTAAGCAGTATGGAAGCGTATTGCCAATCTTCGAAGAACTCCCATCGGATTGGGATATGCTAACTTTTAAAATAGTGATGCCTAACAACATTATAAAAGATTTAATTCATTTAACAGTCTTTTATTCGACTCAGGATTTTATACCAGCAATAGATACGTCCATGTATCTACCATACATGGATGTTAAGTTAATTAGAGATCTTCAAGAAAGATCCGTTGCTAAAAGTTTGATGGTAGTGCTCAAGAAAACCATCGAGAAGTTAGACTCGAAGATATTGTTGCCACTAAGAAAAGATATGGATAGAAGCAAATTATTTTACTACCGCTCTGGGAAGAATATTTCAATTCAACCTAATGTTTTGCAACCCATTATATTAGAGAGTATTACAGTTATGAAACCAGTATGGAATATTGGTTTTAATCTATTCAATGGATATACATTACCGTATTATTATCCGTACAAATATATAGCCACCAAGACTCACCGACCCACTGTTGGGAACAGTGCTATGCTCGAATATTTTATGATACCAGCATTAACGTCGCAGGAGGTCCGAAACAACATCAAGGAATTCTTACACGAAACTCCATCTGATCAACAGGACGTTATGGTGAATCAAATCGTAGAAAGCATCAAGACGGTTTGTACCCTTCCCATGTTTACAACCGACGACGATTTATGGAACGTGTTTTCAAAATTCGTCATCAGTCAGAAAAACGATTTGGATTCCATGAGCAGCATTGTCGAAAGTATGTGTGCATATCCAGCCATTTGGGAACAACCACACGTGTACGCAAGCGGTGTGCGGAGTGTGAATGCGCAAGTTCCTTGGGACTTTCTGAAGGAATTTTTGACTAATATTTTTTTTTCGTGTAAAAATGAGGGTAATCAACTGGACACTTCTTTACTCGAAGCTTCTTTTTTCTTTTACGTCATTTATAGTGTAATTCGATACAGTGATCCCATGGATTGTACCTTTATTATCGAATGCACAAATGTACAAGTATTGGCAGAATTCTATTTGAGGATGCGACCTATACTAAATCCCTTTAACATGAAGCTGAATACTCCAGCTTCCTTATTTATGGTGAGGCATAACATAAAGTCTATCGTCGATTCAAACTTTTGCACTGTCAATGAGAACATGAAACATGCACAAGAAGGCAAACGCACTGCTGTGGGGTTCGCTCACGTTGCAAGGCATACTATTACAAATCCAAAAACCTCTAATAGAGGAAATAAAAAAAGTTTCATATTTCATCTTACGAATTTTTGGGAATCTGGTCAAGACGAAGCCTTTGCCAATAGGTTCTTGCACCCACAAATCTTCATTGATATAATGAGTACTCTTATGAGTATTTATACTAATACAAACGTTGAAGACATTACGGACACTCGTCTACATATGTGGTCTAAACAATGTCTTAGTGAAGTACTTAATTCAATCCGTATATTCACGAGAATAATGCCATCAAGCAACAATTGTGTCGCCGCTGCTGCTGCTGCTGCTGCTGTTAAAAGCAATGAGAAGGAAACACCTCAAACTTCTGCTGCAATACAAGTGTCAACGGACGATCCAGAGGATCAGGTTTTTCAAGATGTGCGAGATCGCATTAACCAATTGACAGAATCTTCGGATCCCTGGGGAGGATGTGACGAAGACATGGCATGGACATCGAGAATCGACAACGCTTCGAATGGTAAGTGTATTTTTTTTATTCTTTGGTTAGTAATTATTTGTATTCATTTCGTAATATAATCAAAATTGAACAAATATCGCTTTCATTTTACAGAAAAACCAATGCTGGGGGTAGGGGGTTCCGAAGAGGAAAAAGAAGGGCTCGATAAGCCGACCGAACATGGTGTTGACAACGCAGTAGAAGATGGCAAGGAATATCAGGCTGCGATTACCCAAGTTCGCAAAGACAACGAAGAAGAGTGCATAACACAAGTTGTAAAAAGCTATGACGGACAACCGATATGCCAGGAAGAGTCCCAATATCATGGAAGCGAAAGAGCGCTTATTGGTAACGATGGCATAGTTATTCAAGATTGCCAATACGATAAAGAGTGTGATATACAATTCATGACTAATGGGGAAGAAGAAATGTGTGACAAACATAAGCGCTACTCTGAAGCAGGCGCTTGTGACAACGTTGAACTCTATGATAAAGTTAATGGAGATATCGACGACCGACCAGCACCCCCTTTGGTGGACGAGGTGTCCTGGCAACCACCACTCAATCTTGACGATGTTCTGAAACGTATGTCAATAATTTATTGTATAACATAGTTTTATGATTGTTTTATTTATTTGTCTATTTATCTACATTACAGAATCCATTGCCGAGTGTGATTTACCTTGCAATGAAGATGTCGGCTGTAACGAAGATGCACCCTGCATGCAAGGTCGAATCAATTTTGACGAGATCGATTTACGTACGTTATTTGTTTAGTTCTTCCCTTTCTATATATAATTTTTAATATTTATTTTTTCCTTTCATTACAGGTACACCATGTCCTAGCTCGTCAAAAGAACCTGGTACATCGATTATCAACAGGGTGGCTATTAATAACGTATGCAAGCGAAGATTAGCAGAAGAATTATTTCAAGGTATCCATACAGACTCTGAGTTTAATTTTGACCCTTGATTACTAAAGAGAGGATGAACAAGTCTTATATTGAAGATCTAATCAAATACGGTTTTGATAGTAATGACAGTATTGACGATTGTTTATCACAATCGTCAATATATGATACATTAATTGACGATAGCGTCTATAGTGATACTTATTGTGACAATGCGGACGATGATAATGACAATACATCGTATTATAATCGAGTCAAGAATGATGATGAAAACGACGTGGACGACAATGAAAACGACGTGGACGACAACGAAAACGAAAACGACATCGAAGACGAAGAAAAAAAATGTGAAATTGAATTTTGTAAAGACATCCCACCATGTAAAAACATGAAGATATAAGTGTGATTTCAATAAACATTTATGAAAAAATAACAACATTGTCATACTTTCCATCCCTCAGCAGAGACTTTATGTGAAGCTTTGGCTGTGTTGAGTAGGATAAAAGTTTGAAAAAGCAACTTAACATTTCGGCATCACCGAAATGTTAAGTTGCTTTTTCTTCCCCAGGTGAGATTCGAACTCACACCCTCGGCATAGCTCACAAGTACTGACTTATAAGTACCGCGCGCTAACCCATTGCGCCACTGGAGAATAGGATATATAAAAATGAATGACATGCTACACGATATTGAAGATTAAAATTTTTATTTTTCCATTCTACATCGATCTTACTGTGTTTTTTTTTTTCATAACGTTCTTGTGGTGTACGAAGTAGGAATACTTGAAGAAGGAGAATAGGAAAACTAATTTTTACATTACATTGAAATATTATAAGTAACCAAATACACCGCTGTTTTCTATAATAAATGCTTGTGCCAAATCGGCTTTACGTATCGTTTTACGATCATGATATTGAGCAAAAGCTTTAGCTCGGTATATCGTAGTATATAAATACATTCTAATAACGTTATGTACACTCTCGTTTAAGGATTTTGATATTCGAGTAATGCTACTTCGAAGACTTAGACGTTTAATTTCGTTTTTGCAAAGATAAACACCTCTAGTGGTTTGGTCGAGCTCACGTGCACGTCGCTGTGCAGTTCGTTTTTGCGCAGGTGTTAGTGGTGGCATTTTTTTAATAAATTATTCTATATATGTGTTTTTATGAATTGTATCTAGATATAGGTTTTTTTTATTGATTCAATTACTAATCGTAGTATGTGGAGAATGAGGTGGTTCTTCCCATAAATTAGACAAAACGTCTTTCACGATTTGTCCGAAAGATTTTGCATCATCCGCGTTATTATCAAACAAGTCTTCTTTACTTTTAGGCTCTTGCATAGCATGGTTTATATAATCTTTTAAAAATGACTCGTTGCTTGCTCCCCTGTTCATTGTATCGTAAGCAGCGTCCAACCAATCGTCGACGGAGGTTTCTTTTGACGTGTGGCGAGAAGGGCTGTATTTATTATCGAACCACGCAGTTCCTAGAAGCAGCTTCCCGTTATTAAACAATTCGTCAATGGCCATTACGTCTTTGTGCGTCAAAGAATTGTCTGCATTTTTATAACGTGTATATAATCCCTCCTCCGAACAGTTTAACGGTACAAATTTTTCGTCGTCGAGAAGATTAAGAAGGTGTGCCGCAGAGTATATTGTCCGGTTACATTGTTTGCGTAACCAGTCGTGACCGTCTTTACTTAACAAAGCCGTCTTCAGGAATATGTGGTGCAACATATTTTGTTATAACAACAACGTCATGCCACTCTCCCACCGGCTCATTGCCATAATGAAACGTGCTTCAAATACCAACGAAGTTTCTCCACGTGAGTTTGTGACGTTCCTCTATCTCCTGGAACAAATTCAAATATCTGTTGTGAAAACGGTTGGAAGTCATCTATGTTTAAACACTGTGGTTGGCGTGTTTCATTTCATAACAGACGGCAAATATCGTAGAGTCATGAATTATTTTATTCATCTCGTCAAAAACCAATTATGGTATTTCGAGACTCTATGCAAGTACATAGACTACCGAATATACGAACACGACGAAAGTGCTCTGTTATCTGTTATACCTACATATATGCCAATTTGGTTGGCAAAAAATTCTTCAGATATGGATAGCATAATATATTGCGAAACGATGAACATTTTAAATGTCAGTACTACTAGTTCAATTACTTTTTTTATTGCATGTGTACGCAAATTGAGTTTAATGTTGTCGATGCATCCATTGTGTGTTTTAACAGACGTCGTTCAGCCTTATACAATACCAAACCCAACGATTCACGAAAAGTTTTTACATATAATATATAGTAAAAATGTTTACTATAACGTGTGTGATTATTTAGAGTGGTTTGAATCAAAAAAACTTTCTCGTGCGTGAATTATCTTGACTACGCTAAAAAATAACGAGATAAAAAAATATGGGTAAAGATAAATACCGAAAACATAGAAAACACCGCAACCACCATCATCATCATCACCACCACTACCACAACATCGTAGTCGAGTGCCTGATTCTTGACGAGTGGAACGAGGGAGACGATATGGTAGAGAATAAAAGGGAAAATACTAGCAGATACAATCGTTTTATAAACGAACGGACCACCACGCCTGTAGTCAGAAAAAATGTTCCGCCCGATGAAGAAGCAGCCTTACCCGATACAGACGCAAATAGTTCAAACTATATTGGAGGCGGCAAGTAAACGCGAACATGTAATGATCGAGTCGCCAACTGGATCTGGAAAGTCTTTGGCACTCATTAATGCAGCCAGTCAATGGATCACTTTACATCCGACTTCGAAGGTTTATTATTGTTCGAGAACTCATCAACAACTCGAACAAATCACCAATACCATTAGAGAAGTTGACCCTAACATACGTACGGTGCGACTTGTTGGTAAAGAGAAGTTATGCCTTTACAATACACCAGCTGGGGGTAACATGGCCAAAGTCTGTAAATGGATCAAAAGTACACATTGTTGTTATTTTAAAAACTTGGGAAAAACACACCCACCGGTACAAAGCGATCCAATTCTTGACGTAGAAGATTTGGTAACGAAGTGTTCCGAATTACAAATATGCCCTTACTATACTAATAACAGTTTTGTAAAGGACGCAAATATCATTCTTTCTCCATATAATTACATTTTGGATGCATCGATACGTAAAGTTGATTTGCACGATTCTTTAATTATAATAGACGAAGCTCATAATATCGAAAGTGTTTGTAGAGACAGTCTATCTTTTGAAATATCTATAACATCTTTGCAATCGTATAAAATGCAAGTGTCTAAAAACAGTTATATGTATAATTTTTTTAACAAATTAATTACAATGTATGAAAAATTCAAAGAAATAGCTTGTAAAAATAAATATTATATAATAACAGGAACTGCGTATTTATCTACGTTAACGAAACAGGTCAGCTTAGCTAACATACCTCAATTTCCACACAATCGCATCCTAAATCAGTTTATTGAAAAGTTTCAGCAACATGTGTCAAATTTAAACAATTTCAACGCGGATTGTTTTCGCTTAGTCGTCGAGGCTGATTTGTTTAGAATAATATGTCTCGACCCACAACACGCTATGAAATCGGTAGTGGAAGTAGCGCGGACTATAGTTCTTGCGTCTGGGACACTGTCACCATTTAATTCGTACGAAGCCGAATTGGGAATTAACTTTAAGCATAAAATCACGGGAAATCATGTGGTGCATCCTGAAAATGTTTACATAAGACGTATTTCACATTCTATTGACGGTAAAATACCCTTTAGAATGACATATGGTGCATACAACGACAAAACGGTATTATCTGCCATTGGGCAGCTATTGTTAAAAATATGCGAATCTATCAAAGTGAACGAACAGTGTAGATTGGGTGGTTGTGGTGTGTTATGTTTTTTCCCATCCTACCAATCCATGTTAAAGTGTGCACAAGTGTGGAAGAATATAAATCCAGACGTGTGGACGTCTTTCATGGCTACTACAAATGGATGCATCTATTTCGAAAGCAACGACGAGACCGTCCATTCACACGTGGAATCCGTGGCCTGTGGTGAAGTGTCTATATTGTGTGCAGTGCATCGCGGAAGAATTAGTGAAGGCATGGACTTTGCCGATAATTTGGCACGCGTTGTGGTATCCATCGGAATCCCCTTTCCATCTATCGTGCAAGACGACGTCCGTCTCAAAATGGAATTCAACGACACTACAAAACCTCAAGTTCTCAACGGTCGTGAATGGTATCGCATCCAAGCTATGAGGGCTGTGAATCAAGCCGTCGGACGATGCATCCGACATTCGAAAGATTGGGGGGCCATGCTGCTCGTCGATCAACGCTTTCTTCAATGCGACACTTGGAAGGACATGTGCAATTGGATCAAGGTCATGGAAAATGGACGTCCGGCTGGCAACACTCGCAAGAATGGTGTAGTTCAAGAATTAACGAAATTTTTTAAGGATAAAGAATTGAAATAAAAAACAATGATCACGCTCGAAAGTCTCGTTTTGTCTTTGGAAGCGAATCGAAAACACATCAAAGTAGAATATTTACAATGTCTTGCAGCACATCAGGCAAACTCGGAGTTAAAACAATTAATATTTATCATAGTATTCATTTGGCTGAGATCACCTTCACTACTTTTACAGGTTCGTGAATATTTACAGCTATATCCAGAATACCAAAATGCATTAAATGCGCTTACGGACGAATCCTTTTTGGTTTGTGAAAAGCAACACGAGGGTACGAATGTATTCGAACCATTCACTGTCATTGCCTTACGCTTTGGGATCGGTTTGAATGACCAACAATCGAAATATATTACTAAGATCATGGATACTTTGGCTATAGTAAACTATTTAACGAGATTTCATCAACGGCAAACGTGTATTAATCTTTGGCGAAGGGGTAAAATTAACGTGTGGATATTCTCAGAAATAATGGTGTCGGTACCCATAAAGGAGCGAACGTTGATCGAAATTATGCATCGTTGTCGTCATTTGGAAAAATATATGACAGAAGAATTCTTTGTAGAATTAGCTCAATCGTGGTCCAAAGTTGACGGATTGGTTTTAGATTTTAACATTTCTCAAATCGATATTAAGAAATACGAGAGTGATTTTGCGCAAACATTAACAGGTTACGTTCTGTCGAATGATTCAAACTATTTTTCGAAAGGTGTACCAGACCATATGCACGTTTTACAATATCACATGAAAGATTTAGAATACGAAAATATCGTGCCCAAATATTGGGCGAAGAAGGTTCACAAGAAAAATAATTTGTTAAAACACACAGCATGGATTGTCATGGAAATACTACTACGATTTGGAACACACGAGGCGGTCGAGTTTTTTAACAGTGACATAAAAGATATTTTTAAAGAAATTATTAAAGCATCAAAACTAGCTGGTGAAACAAAATCGGTGGACGTATCGGCCTATGTACATAGGCGCAATTTAACACTCAGATCTATTGGTTTAGCTGTGGAGGAGAAATACACGAATCAAATTGCTTCTATGAAGCTTCTTTTACACGCTATAGCAAACATTAAATCTCGTCGTCAACTTCAGAATATACGTATTACAATAGGAGCAAAATCAAATGATTATATAACCGTTTTCGAACTCTTTTATTCGCAACAACACGAATCTTTTAAAAATATAATGCAGTTGCTCGGTCACGTAGAGGACACAATCGAAATGGAGTTGCTAACTAAATTAATACATTTAGTGAAAACCGGTGATGAAACAAAGGTAAATTCGGCCGATGTCATATATAAATCTGATATACGCGCCTCGGAAATTTTAAAAAATACATTCAATATATATCCGTCTCCAAATAACGACACGCTATTATTAGATGAAGACGCATACGATTTCATCAAAACCATCATATCTACTCGTTTCGTACGTCTCTATTGGCATGCGTATAAGGGGCAGGTTAATGGTTCCGTCTTAAACATCAAAGAAGAAACTTGGCTTACTATGGAATTGTTATTAAATTACGACGAAACACCACAGATAAAATCTATATTGTATAATTTGCCAAACCATGCAAACTTTATTAAATCTGAAATTAAAACATTTCACGAGTCTAGAAAGACTACGATTGTGTCGTTTTACGAATACGATACTGAAAGAACGTGGTTATTAAAACGATATGGTGTCGCCGTTAACACAATTGTAGAAAACGAATTACAGGTATTAGATGCTATAATCGTTTTAACATCTCATTTAAAAGCGCAAGATTTACCAATCATTAATAAGAATCTTCCTTTAAAATTAGCCAAGTTATTTACGATAGTATTAGAAAATCCGTCATTTACAAAAGCGCATCAAGTGTATGCTCTATCAGATAAGCCATACTCGTTATGTGACGTTGTAAATCTACTAGATATAATAAAGGAATCTACACCACCACCTATAAATCCCGTAGTCACAAAAATTATTCGTATATATAACGACAAGGTTAAAAAAGACAAAGCTTTCCTTAAGAAGTATAAAATTGCCAACGATTACAAAGAAAAATATTTAATCTTTAGTACAGAGAATCCCAACGATATAGACCTAAATCATAATATAGACCTAAATGCAGATTTGTTACACGATTATCGAGCGGTATTACCCCGTTATTGGGTACAACACGTTTACCAGAATAATGACTATAAAGCGTATTACAATACATGGTTAACTATGGAAATTTTAACATATTTCAAAGAATACGATATTGAAGCCATTGTCAAACGATTAGTACCAAATCACGATATTGCAAATACTTTGAAATCCTTAAAAAACGAAACGGAAATAAGTGATATAGAATTATATCACAGAGCACAACATTCCGCGCTACGTTCTTTTAATTTATTTCTGGATAACGAACATGCATATGGAGTAGACGTAATGAAGGAAATCTTCGCGATTATTCCTACGTTTTCAAAATCGGAAATACTTCAACTGCGTAACGTCATCCACGATCATTCCGTTTATCCACCGATATTGGGTCTATTTCTTGAAATCGTGGCGTATTATGCTGCCGAAAACGATGTGTATTCAACTATGCGTATGTTACGGCCTATAGAATGCCAATTAGATGTCATATTATTAGATTCGATATTGAATTTATTTATATATATTAAGTTAGCAGATCGCGAAAAAATCCTTCCAATGAAACGAATCCGTGCAATTAATAAAAATATACACGAAGCAGTCTCCACTGTTTTTCGTTTAAAAGATACTACCAAGTTAGAATATAAAGTAGAAGACGAAGATGCGATTACAGACACTCAAGAAACGACTACAATAATTCCGTCACCAACACACCAATTATATACATTTGTAGGTGCTCCACTTGTGTTGTGGTCGCTCATTGCAACCGGTGTAGTCATATATAATAGAAATAAAAAACCAAGACTGGGTGAATAAAACCATCTCTGCGCCATCTTTCGAGCCATTCATGAACTAAACCTCGAAGTGGCTACATATCCACAAAGGAGGGACAGACCCATGCCTTAAGGAGCTTCGCCCCTAAAAAATAATAAAAACGAGATTTTTGCAATGTCACAATTTATTCTATTTTTATGTGTGTTCTAGAGACTAACCAAAAGAATAAACAATGCCCGAAGTATCGATTTTCGAAGAACATTTCGGTGACCAGTACAATAATATGATTAACAAATTGGACAGGTTTAAGAGGACACGTTTTTCCGTTTGGTTTAATTATATTAAAGGTAAACCACTCTGAACATCCCAAAACACTTCAATATGCTTGGTTAATTAGTGAATTCATGCAAACGAAACCTACGTCTTATGAATTCATGACTTGGCATAGAAACACAGTAACCCCTCAGTACTATCCGGCCGTAGGTAAATATTTAAATATGTTTTATACATATAAGAATAATACAACGTCGGCGCAAGAAGAAGAGTATAAAGTGGTTTTAGAAACGCAGGCGACAATGGCTTTAAATAGTATAAATGCTTTCTCTGGAACACAAATTAAGGACCTCAATGACATGCATAGTAAAATCAAGTCATTGTCTACTAATTTTATAAATCAACTGCGTTTACGTGCATGGCGTGTGACAAATAAATTAGTATGGCATTTGGTTGAATTAATCGTGTCCTACGATGTTCACACAAAACCGTATATAGCTTTTATCGACTACCTGAAAAAAATTAAAACAAAATTAATTATAAATAAATTTCGTGTATTAGAAACTATATATAAAATTATTAAAAGTGTAGAAAAAGATAATGTACTGGGATATACAATTTTAGATACCGTGTATAGATCTTACACTGACGATTTAGAAAAACTCACGAAAAAACTAGACTTTAAAGTCTCCGATCAACTATTAAAATTTAATGTTACAGAAGACAAGTCACTTGTACAAGATGTCGTGGGGGATAAAAATGGAAAAGATGAAGAAGACGATACGATATCTGATATAGATGAAGACTTAACAACTACAAAATTTCAGAATGGTAAAAAGAGACCCATTCCGAATAATGCTAAGATCGATCTTGAAGAAGTTGAACCTCCTTTAAAAAAGTTCATACTCGATAAAAAAAATTACTTGATTAGTGGATCGATTGTAACAGTTTATACCGTTTTAGTATTGACTACATTGGCTAGCATATTTTAAAGATAATAGATAGCCTCCAAGTACTTGTCGATCACTTCGTCATCGCCTTGTTGAACAACCTTAGATAATAGATTAGCACATTTTTTTAAGTGGGTGGCTTCTGCATCATCCTCAGTCATCCATTTAGAAAATTCGATAGCGTTATTGGTAGCCTTTAAGGCTATTTTTAGCAACGTATTATTACTATTTGTAACACGTTTTGACAGAATAAATAACAAGTGATCGACACTACCTTGTCTAGCATTTTTTGCGCGATCTTCTACTGTGGTTGGTGGGATATAATTCATCGATCCATAATTCAGAATAGATACGCATTTCTTGTTGTTTTGCAAAGCATCTTGTACACTACTCGCAGTACCTAAATGAACACGTACATACTTTTCTAAGAAACTGTGACATGTCTTCAAGGCGTTGTTTAAAGATTCGTCACCATCGGATGCCTTGACACAATGATGTAACATGGTGTACGTAGAATAAATAGACATTATTGTCGTCGTGTATAGTTTTTATAGATATATATTAGTTCTTTTTTTATTTTTTATAACACTTTAAATATGCATCCAATAATTTCTAACGTGTTTTGCACTACGAGATTAGTTCTATTGGGATTCTTTTTACGAAGACGCTTACCATTTGTTTTAGGAATACGCTTACCTTTTCCAAAAACTTTGCGCACGCGCTCCCACATGCCATTTGTGGAATTCTTCGTACCTTCTTGTAATGAAATATCAGATACGATTTCTGCTGAAGTCAACATTTTTTATTATATAAACAACTCAATCATCTACAGCATCAGAATCGCTATCTTCCATTGTCGACGATGAGTTAGTCTGATCCTCTGGTACGTTTATAACAGCGTCTACGGTTGGTTGTTCTGGTGATTCAGGTAAGATGGTTGGTGGTTCTGGATCTTCGAGTACTTGTAATTGCGATTCCGGAGATTCCGGAACGATGGGTGGCGATTCCGGAACGATGGGTGGCAATTCCGGAGATTCCGGAACGATGGGTGGCGATTCTGGAGATTCCGGCATTGATGGTGGCGTTCCTGGGGACTGTGACACCGAAGGCGGTGATTCCGGAGATTCCATAAGAAAGATTTCTCCCGTCTTATCATTCTTTTTCAATATGGGCACCCGTCTAGATTGGATTGGCGTTTTACGCCTCTTTGATCGCCGCATTTTTCGAGCCAGCTTCACGGGAGTCACGGAAGGTGGAGCCGTGCGTTCTGGTCTGTAATAAACATTACAAAAAATGACACAGTTTAGAGAAGTTCTAAACCGTTACAATTCATTACATGCAGGACAGAAAAAGGTTCTTTTACGGGAGGTTTCTCGGAAATTATACGAAAACACTGGGGATGCAATTTTAAATCGAAAATATTTTATATTTATGGGACTACATTATTGTGAACGTGCAGGTATTCCATTAGCCGATATACTATCAGATTCATTATTGGTTAATGCAGAAACGTTACGAACAGCATTACTTGACAGCATAGAGGAATCCAAGGTAATTTATGAAAATATTAGACCATCGTCTGGTAGCGTAATTATATCTGGTGTAGCGGCTGGTTTAGGTGTAATGGGGTTATCATCTGGAACGGCGTATTTAATTCAAAACAGGAAAGACCTTTCAAATATATATCGCAATGGAATGGCTAATTTAAATACTAAAACAAACACGCAATGAAATTTTTTTACTCACGTTTTGTTTCCCTCCATTTTCGATAACTCTATAAGAAGCCAAAAAAAAGTGTGGACGTCAGTTTTACTTACTAAAAAACAATGGCACAAACTAGAATGGCATCTCCAACAGCACCGTCGGCGCCGGTGAATCATTCTTGGGGCGAAAGGTTTTCACACGCTTATCACCTACCACAAGCATTCATGACGGACAGCCCAAATCCAACTGAACATGTTATGGACGTAATTTTACGTGGATCGTTCACTGTTAATTACTGGGGGGCGTATTCCAATGATACTTACATCAACGATCCAGTAAGTCATAGACCAATCATACCTGACAAAAGAAAACTATATCCGTTATTTAATGCATCGGGAGACCCCCACGATGTACACACCATACCATTTTTTAGACTCGTGTACGCAGCCCCGCATATATTGCATATACCTGGTCAAAGAAAGATTAATACCGAAGATGACTGCATTAATGCACGAACTGCACCTTGGAAAATAACGTTGCGTCTAGACAATATCGACGGCATGGTTTACTTTCAAATTCTAAATAGATCTGAAATAGATGCGTGGAAACCGGCTCATTCCGTACCATTCGATCAAGTTCTTCTAAGAATGCTGTTTACAACAGATATGGAAAATCATTTAGGAGATGTGCCATACGATTGGGCTCGTGATTACAGAATAGCTCACGACACCGCGTTACAAGTTATTCCCAACCACGATGAAATATATCTAGTAAGTAGAATCATTTTAGACTCACACCTTTTTGCGACGTCCAAGATATTCGCCAAAACCTTGAATCCCTTCACACACAGTTCGTCCAGAATTCTTGACAGCTCGGCTGGTCTGATGATGTTGGCCGAACGAGAGGGGATACACCACCTTCCAAGTTTGCTGGCACGACTAGATAGGCAGTATCCCGTCTCCGTTTTATATGGGACGGTAGTAAATATCGCCTATTGCACACTTAAACACGTCATAGATAAACACGTCCGGGAAGAGACACACCTTCATCTTCACGACGTACCACAAGACGAACTCCCTCTCCTAGACTTTGTTGCGCTGAGATACGCGTGCAAAACATATCTACATTTGCGTTGGGGGATAGAAACGACTTCAACGTTACCACGGCTTTTGTCTGGAAAAGCTGGTGAAGAGATTGCGGAACCTCTCCCCGATAAATTACCAACAATAGTTGAACAACTTTTTCCACATGCACTTTGTTTTTTCGTTTCATCTGGAGACAGAGATTCTATCCATTACGAATATACACGATCGGCTCTGTTTCAATACATGTACCATTTCATGGTTACCGACCCAATGCCCACTCCAAATATTCGTGCATTAATCACAAAGCGAGTTGTTGAGTTATGGCTGGAGTACATGGCCCCATATATACTACGACGTTTTGTCATTACGTATTTTTTACACAACAGTAACGATACAATTGAAACGCAAACGGCCGATGATAAACATTACATTAATATATTAAACGGTTCGAATAAAGTAAACGAATTGCATATATTATTTAAAGCTATGGATAAATCTTTACAATATGCATCCGATATAGACAATAAAGTCAATTTGTCCGATTATCAGGGGAGTAGTGACACCATTATTGGTATGTTAAAAAGAATAGGTGCCAACGGTTCTGGAGTAGTAGATTTGGTCTTGAGCGATCATATGCAATTTCCATTATACACTCATAATATGACGAACAAATATGTGGATGCCAGACTACCTTATGAAAAGAGTAATGTACCTACGTTAGTTTCTAGCGTGTGGAAACCATTGGTGTCATTTGTGACTGGCATTATGCCAGCGCATGCATTAATAAATAATCCACCATCGGTTATAATTCCACGACAAATTAACATTCCAAATAAAATATTAATTTATGTAGCCCATGCATGTGCTACTGATGCAACGTGCCACATGGAAGGTTTAGCTAATACGCCTACAACAGAACGCACACAAACTACTCAGTGTCCAGAAAAGGGTGTTTATTTCGCAATCGGAATTGGGGCATTAACAGGCGTTTTGGTAGCGACTGGAATGTCTCATACGATAAAACCAACACATGCTTTTTAAAAAAAACAATGCTCTCAAACTTTATTATATTTTTTACGATAAATATCTAAAATTTCGGCAGCAGTCATTTTATCTACACTTTTAGTTTGAAGAGGAGTGTGACGTTTCGATTTAACGTGCGTATGTTTACGTTTCTTGTACATCACTTCATTTTTATTTCTGTTGTTCAGAATCGGTGCTTGTGAAGAAGAGGACGATGCTTGTGTTGCTGGTGGTGATGATGGTGGTGGTGGTGGTGGTGACGACGAGACGATGCGCTCAAGTTTGAAGATATCGCCAGACACGTTCTGTTTCAATAAAGCCTTGAAATCTTTATCGATGATGGATTCGTTCACCAATGACTTGTTCGAAAGATATACGACTGTATTCACTAAATCGTTTATAGTCTTGTTTTTAATAGATCTTGAAATTTTATATAACACGTTTACAGCTTTGTCGTTCACAAATTTCATACCGTATTTTTGGGTCAAAATTTCCGTAACTTGCGAATAAAAAACAGTGCACATTGCATTCGATTTGTGCGAACAAAAAAAATGGCCAACGATTCGTTTTATAATCTTCTAGAATATACGAAAAGTGTCGTTTCGTCCTGGTGGAATTATAATGTATTGTCTGGAATCAATCGCTATTTATTGAAATTGCCAAGCACCGAATCGGAGATTACGCAAGGTTTTGTCCATATGACAGATTTAGTTATAAATTCTCAAGATATAACCTTAAAACATATACTAACAAATCTATTGCCTACTTTTTATGGAACGTTATCTCCGTGTTACACGTTATCCTTCACAGACAAGATACATGTATTCAGTGTATTATTTTACGATATGCAGGCCGCTTTCATTTCTGTAATACAATACATGTGCACAACGACTCCAGCAAGATGTATATCGAGCACGGATAAATCTGGTTTCTTACAGAATTTATTAACGTCTTGGACAATGTTGTTACTAGACATATACGATGATAATTTAGATGATAGAGAGCAAATTAACAATAGAGATAGACTAGATGAATTGCATATAAAGACATTATTTCTCTACTCGATGGCACGTAGTATTCGCAGCGATTTGTCTACTGCAGTTCATTTTCTACGTAAATATATGAAACGTATGAAACAGAGAGTTTTACCTAGAGAATTATTAATCACAACAAGTAGTGGAGATATTGATGCTTACGATTTATATAGCAATATGTGTAGTAAAATCCAGTATTATAGGGAATGTAAGATCGTTTACAATTATTTGAACACACGACACATGCACTTGAAAAATATTGAGCGATGGTTTAACGAACATCGTCTTCCACAAGCTTACAAACATTTAAACGAAGCACGTTTAAGTATTATGGATGCAGACCGTATAGGGAATTTGGGAGAATTAATACATCTCACGAAGAGTATCAGTGTTTTCGATATAAACGATATATGTTTAGATTATGCACATGCATCTAAAGAATGTGTAGAAATTCTAAAAGAATTAGAAATCAGGTTTCAGATTATCGTAAAATCATACGTGACCTTCTTAACTTCCACAGATGTTATTACCGATACAACCACGTTTCGCAAAATGTATTACAATATCGTTAAAGATAACGATGATAGAACGTACGGAAAGAAGAATGGCACAAATCATACTTATCGGTTAACAAGTTTAAGAATTAATGGTGCACTTAATCCTTACGAAAATATCACTCAGGTTCTTGAGTTATTAAAGCAAGCTATGATAAGGGTGTCTATCCGACAACTCAAAAGTAAATATGAGTATTTTTCTCAAAAGGGCGGTTGTTTATGTAAGATCCATTGTATGACGTATAACACACAAACATTCGCGGTTTTTAAACCAAATAAATTTGCACTCTGTCAGGCGCACGCAGCTTATATAGATTTACATAATGCTATAAATTGTAAAAATCATTCTTGTGATTGTGTTACATTTATGAAAAAAGAAACACAATACGTCAAATACCTTAAAGAAACAATGTTATATTTTATGGGACCATTATCATCTATCGAGTATGCGATATCATCACCCTATCAAGAAATTGCTACACATTTTTAATCCCCACCACATCAACATCACGGTGACAGTGGTTCGTATACACTCATCGGTGATCTTGGATTATATTCGTCGTCGTCGTCGTCGTCCTCCATGACATTTTGATCGTTGACTTGTGTCGCGATATTTGTATCGTTTTTCATAGATTCGTTAGAATATACTTGCATTGAAGATTGTAAAACCCCAACATGTGTAATATCTAAACCAAATGCAAAATTTACCGATGTCCATCCACGTTTCCGTTCTTCAGCTATAGCAGATTTTATTAAAAGTTTTTTCGGATTTTCAAAACATGCTGCAGATAATCTGTCTCTTTTTTTCCCAATGTAAGATCGATTAAGTGCTACAATTTTAGATGGCTCTCGTGTTAACATGTTAATGTATAATCTAATGTATGAACACAAAACATTATCGATGTTATTAGAAACGCTCAAAATACCCTTAAATGTTTTATATAAATACGAATAAATTCTAGTATTATCAGAACATAGGGCTAATAGTGATAGTACGTGGTCTAAAGGTTCGATACAATCACGATGGCTTAAAACCCATTGCGTAAAAAATGGACAAGCATTATTCGTAAAATATTCTTGAGGTGCAGCAAAAACTAATGTGTCATCGTCACACAACAGAGCAAAATCAGCTAAACGTTTAGTTATTAAAATTGGAAGAAAAGAAGGATCGTTTATTAACTTAAAGTAAATTAATGTAGAATCACTGTTACGTACTCTCTTTCCATTGAATAAAGCGTACACTATCGATCTGGTACTGTCTAAAAATTCCACTTGTAATCTAGGACGAGACGATGCAATTTGACGAAGAGTTGCAAAAGCGTTGTGCGTGTTACCCACGTCGTATAATTTTATGTTAGTATTCATCGATCGAATTAAATCGTTACAAGCCTTTTCTCTGTTATGAGATGAATCTAAATAATCTTGCGTCAAAGGCGAAGTAATGTTTTGGGCAATTACGTCACCCAAACCTATCCCCGGTTGTGCAAATGAAAAAAGCATAGTAGAAAACATGTGTGTATACATACTAACACTACACACTTCATCTACGTATTTAGTAAAAGACGGAGGTGCTTTCAAATTTTTGTCACAATAAGATATCAGGACGAGCGTGTGGTGTATAACCATTCTCAACATTTTGCGTGTGTAATATCTCAACGTTACGATTTCCGATAATACAGGATATTCTTGGTTCCTGTTTACGAGATTGGAGTGAACTAATGGATCGTATTTACTTTGTGTACCAACGTCAAAGGTCACGGAATTGTCCTCCGCTTGCATTTTGCTATAAAACATCATAATCTCACGCGCTGACGGTAAGGGACTAGTCACGTCTGGTTCTAAAGTGAGTGTATACGCATTACGAATGTTTTCAAAAACTAATTGTACTCTATACATATTGACTATAATATATACATAATTAAAAAGATGTCTAAAGTACGACGAGTTTTAAAGAAACAGAGCGATGAAGAATTATTATGGATTAAATATGCAGCTATAGGTGTTGCAACTGGTGTTTCTTTAGGCGTTTTATACACTCATTATAAAAACAGATCAAGATTAATTGAAACCTGTCAAAGCTACTATAAGGCTATAGAAACACACCCATCTACAAACAAATCCGCAATTATTAGTAAAGACGAATTAAACTCAAAACTAAGCACATTATCATACGTTAACTTAAGATTATTAGCTAGTGACCCAACGTTACTATATCGCCTAATATATAGAATAAAAAATGTGGTCTAAATATTGCGATCTTAATCATTCGGTTTGTAACATAAATAGCGATGGTTACGTGTACAAACACGGTCGACTTATAGGGTACCCCAGTTGGTTCATCATCGAAGAATACGATAAACGCCACATAGAGTGTAGGGTCATCGAAGTCGGTCTGGATGC